TTCTTTCTTTCTTTCTCTTTCTTTCTTTTCTTTTCTTTCTTTCTTTCTTTCTTTCTTTCTTTCTTTCTTTCTTTCTTTCTTTCTTTCTTTCTTCTTTCTTTCCTTCTTTCCTTCTTTCCTCTCTCTCTCTTTCTTTCTCTCTCTCTTTCTTGTTCCTTTCAGGACCTCAAAATGCATGTATGTCTTTGCTTCATGGTGTCTGATGGGGCCCTTAGAATTTCTTCATGTTTCTTTTCTGTATTTTTCTTGCCCCTGTTGGCAGATTATATCCAATGACTTGTTTTTTAATTTGCTGATTTGTTCTTCTGCTGGAAAAGTAGAGAGTTGAACACTTCCAGTTAACTTTTCAGCACAGTCATCGTCTTCATCTACTCTCTGATTTATTTTGGTCATTTGAAATATTTTAAATATTTATTTGTTGAATTTCTCACTTTGTTCATCCATTTTTATCTTGACTTATGTGTGCATTGTTATGGTAGTTATTTCTAATTTGTTATCACATTATTCATATACCTCTCCTTATGGTCAGTTTCTAGAGATTTTTTTTTTGTTTCCTTTTAAGTCATGTTTCTCTGTTTCTTCATGTTCTTTGTAGCTTTGCATTTGTGGATGCACATTTGAAGAAATAGCCACCTCTGGGGGCTTGTCAAACCTTCTCTGTAAAGTGTCTTATCTGTATTTATGTGTGTATATTTTTAATTAGAGAGATTTACTGATTTCTGTTTTAAAATATGTTGTAATCTCTGGCTCCCTGTGGTGTCTGTTTGCTCTGCTATGAGTTCTTTGATGCAGCAGGATGACACTCAGATTTTTTTTAAATTATGTTTTGTTCCTAAGACATCTAGAGTATCTGAAGTCCCATTGGCATCCTGGGTGGGCAAGACAAAAGCAAATTTCTTGGGCATCTCCCTGAAAAATTAGAATGTTGGATACACATTGCAGTCCCTTCCCTCCCTCCTAAGGGAGACATCTAAAATTGTTCATCTTATTTTTTATTGCACTGAGCTGTACCAGTCACAGATTTCCTTTGTACTCACCTTTTATTCAGTGATCCAAACATCCAAATATGCCAGTTCCATAAGTGCTCTGAGCGAGGTGAGACAAGCACCAGTTCCTCATGCAGTGTGTCAAAGGCATGTGAACATGTGTACGAATGTTCCACTCCTTTCTTTTCTATGAGGGAGCAGTCATAGGCCAGGGTATTCTCTCTTGGCACTGAGTTGGACCCCGTCTTTGGAAAGGGGTTGTCACGGGTAAGGTGAAATTACTCTTTTTACCCATTTCAGTGCAACTGTTCTTGGTTTTCTGCTCATCTATGATTTTACAACATCTTACCTCCATTTTGGAAATCTCTTGGGGTGTTTGGATACAATCATTGTTAAATCAATGTTTCTGTGGGGGATTAACAGGTAGGACTTCCTATTTATGATTTTTTCTGTGTTTGTGATCATGTCCTAGTGTTTTAGAGGTTTTTATGCACCTTGATCTAAATTACCTATCAAAATATGGAAATACTCATTGAGTTATATATATTTGTGTACAAAATTCTTTTTGTAATTTACCTCATTAAAAATGGAAACAAGCACATTAAGAAACTTCAAGCCAAAGCATATACTGTAATTGAAGTTCTCAGGATAAGTCTCCAGTGATGAGCCTGATAGGGTGTTGTGGTAAACAAAAAACTATTGTACCATTAATTCCGTGTCAGTCTGTTCAGAACTCTTTTACTGCATTCAAACATAGCAATTTTCTTTATGGCTTTCTCATCTTTTATGTGCAAATGTATTTCCTTAACATGCTGTGCTACTTGAAATGAGAACGCAATTCATGTCTCCAGTATTTTAACTTTCCCCCAAACACTGCATGAAGCTTACCTTGTGAAGGACAGGAGGAAGATAATTTTACATACGTTGGGCATGTGGAGCAATTCACACAGAGAAGGTTTTTTTTGTGCTGCCTCCAGTTCTTCCTTCATGGTGGATTTCAAAATCTTCAACAACAGCAGAAACAATAAATTGGGCAGTTGTCACAAAATAGTAGGCACTGTAGGGGCACTGGTCAACCCGCAAATGAGAAATGACATGACTTTTTGTCTGTTGGAAAATATAAATCTTAAAATGCAATGACATATGTAAAAATGAGATGTAAAGTGAATTAGGAAGTTAAAGCAGTCTCCAGGAAATCAAGGATATTTCAGATGAGACATCTAAGTGGCTGCAGAGCATTGAAAAAGATATGTATGTTAGAGATTCAGACCATAATGGGTACCAAATAAAGATTACACTTTAAATGAAGGCCAAATTTGATTATAGCCGAAAGCTCCATTTGGACCATATGGCACCCAAAGATATGAACATTGGTTCTCTGCTCACTGCCCTTGGTGAAAAACAGCTTGCCTCAGAAAGGAGAAAAATTTCTTTAGAGAACTCATTTTGGTTCTCAGCTCAGAAATACTGACGTTTGGGGAAGGAGAGGCTACTTTCTACCTAATCTCATACTTCCATGAGGAATAACCTTCAAAAGAGACGATCCTGGCCCTTCTGTATGTACCATCAGCTACCCATAAAGGACTGAGTTATTTGATTGGTGAGTGTGGGAGAATGCACATTAGAAGGAGATCACATTCAGGTCTGCTTTCTGGGCTACACCCTATATTTATCAGGTCAGGTTTTGTACCTTTAAAAAAATCTGTGACAGGTAAGTTCAACTGTGGAATGAAGTGTTATAAATTCTGTTGATGGTAGATGTTGAAAGTCACATCCTCTATTCCAGTTTTCACGGTAGTAAAAAAACTAAAATTTTTGAGCTTCATGTTTCTAACCACTTTAAATATCTCTGAGTTATATGTAATCAGGGCAGAGGAGATGTGTATTATTCGCTGGGCTCCCAGACCCATAAGACTGTAGTAATTAATGAATTGATATTGATATAATGTGGGGCAGGTTTGAGTTAGACGGTTGTCTAGAGCAGGTGTATTAGGAAACCTGTGAGATGGAGATTAAAACAGGACTAAGACTAGACATTTATGAATAATAGTTACAAAATAATAAATCCAAATTTAGGCAACATTAGGTACCCAATCATGTATAAAATCAATTTTTCACACCAAGTTTCAATTGCACCTTATAAGCAATGCTCTCTTTTTTCCCTGGGGAACTGAGGGAACCATCAGTTGCCATTTAGTTTCATAATGCACGGTTCTTTTTTTGTTCCAATTGCTCTTTTATTATTATTTTTTTTACTTTCCAACTTTTAGGTTCGGGGACACATGTCCAGGTTTGTTACATGGGTAAATTATGTGTCATGGGGGTTTGGTGTATAGATTATTCCATCATCAAGTTAATAAGCACAGTACCCAACAGGTAGTGTTTTGATCCTCATCTCCTTACCTCCTTCCATCCTCCACCTCCAAGTAGGCTCTGGTGTCTATTGTTCTCTTCTTTGTATCTATACAAAGCTCCATATGGACCAATGTTTAGCTCCTACATATAAGTGAGAATATGTGGTATTTGGTTTTTCTTTCCTGCATTAATTGGCTTAGGATAATGAACCCCATCTGTATCCATGTTGCTGCAAAGGACATGACCTCCTTTTATGGCTGCTTAGTATTCCATGGTGTATATGCATCACATATCCTTTATCTAGTCCACTGTTGATGGGCATCTAGGTTGATTCCATGTCTTTGTTATTGTGAAAAGTACTGTGATGAACCTACATATGCATGTGCCTTTATAATAGAAAGATTTATATTTTGGGGGGTACATACCTAGTAATAGATTGTTGGGTCAAATGGTAGTTTTGTTTTGAGTTTTGAGAAATCTTTAATTTCAGACACTGCTTTCCACAGTGTCTGAACTGATTTACAGATTTACATTTCCAACAAGAAATCTTTAATCAGACACTGCTTTCCACAGTGTCTGAACTGATTTACAGATATACATTTCCAACAGGAGTTTTTAAGTGTTCCTTTTTGTTTTTTTTCCTGCAGTCTCACCGGCATCTGCTTTTTTTTGACTTTTAAATAATGGCTATTCTGACAGGTGTGAGATGGTATCTTACTGCGGTTTTGATTGATTCTTCTAATGATTAGTGATGTTGAGCATTTTTTTCATATGCTTGTTGGCTATATGTATGTCTTCTTTTGAAAAGTGTTTGTTTGGCCAGCCACAATGGTTTATGCCTGTAATCCCAGTACTTTGGGAGGCCGAGGTGGGTAGATCACTTGAGGTCAGGAGTTCAAGACCAGCCTGGTCAACATGGTGACACCCCATCTCTACTAAAAATACAAAAATTAGCCAGTCATGATGGCATGAGCTTGTAATCCCAGCTCCTCAGAAGGCTGAGGCAGGAGAATCGCTTGAACCCCGTAGGTGGAGGCTGCAGTGAGCCAAGACTGCGCCACTGTACTTCAGCCTGGGTGACAGAACGAGACTCTGTTTCAAAAACAAAACAAAACAAAACAAAACAAACAAAACAACCCACAACTGTTTGTTTATGTCCTTTGGCTATTTTTTATTGAGTATGTGTTCTTTTTTAATTTGTTCAAGTTCCTTATAAATTTTGAATATTACCAGGTGTGTTCCTATGCAACAATTTTGCATGTTCTTCACATGTACCCCAAAACCTAAAGTGCAATAAAATAAATAAATGGGGAAAAAAAATTTTGAATATTAGGCTTTTGTTGGATGCACAGTTTGCAAATATTTTCTCCCATTCTATAGGTTGTCTGTTTACACTCTTCATTATTTAACAGAGTGAATAATGAAGAGTGTAAACAGACAACCTATAGAATTATTAACTTCTGTGCAAAAGCTCCTTAGTTTATTTGGTCCCATTTGTTAACTTTTGTTTCTGTGGCAAGTGCTTTTGCCACAGAAAAGGAGTCTTTGTCATGAAACCTTTGTAAGGAATTTTTTCCAGAATGATATCTTCTATGTTTCCTTCTGGGATTTTTCTAGCTTTAGGTCTTACATTTAAGTCTTTAATCTATCTTGACTTGAGATTTGTATATGGTGAAAGGAAAGTGTTCAGTTTCAATCTTCTGCAGATGGATAGTTATTACGTCATTGACTGAATAGGGAATCGTTTCCCCATTGCTTGTTTTTGTCGACTTCGTTAATGAACAGATGGTTGTAGAGGTATGGCATTATTTCTCAGTGCTTTAACCTGTCCTATTGGTCTATGTGTCTGTCTTTGTACCAATGCCAGGATATTTTGGTTACTGTGTTCTTGTAGTATGGTTTGAAGTCAGGCAGTGTGATGCCTACAGCTTTGTTCATTTTGCTTTGGATTGCTTTGGTCATTTCAACTCTTTTTTGGGTTCCATATGAATTTTAAAATAGTTTTCTATAATCCTGTGGAAAATGTCTTTGGTAGTTTGATAGGAATAGCATTCAATCTGTAAATTGCTTTTGGTGTATGGCCATTTAAACAATATTGATTCTTCCTATCCATGAGCATGGAATGTTTTTCCATTTGTTTGTGGTCATCTCTGCTTGCTTTTATCATTGCTTTGTAATTCTTACTGTAGAACTCTTACCTCCCCAGCTAGCTGTATTCTTAGGTATTTTATTATTTTGTGTTTATTGTGAATGAGATTACATTCTTGATTTGGCTCTCAGCTTTAATGTCAGTGTATAGAAATGCTACTGATTTTTTGTACATTGATTTTCTATCCTGAAACTTTGCTAAAATTGTTTACCAGATCAAAGCGCTTTTGGGCTACAACTACAGGGATTTGCATGTATAAGACCATATTGTATGTGAAGAGAGATAGTTTGTCAGAGATAGCTCTTATTATTTTGAGGTACGCTCCTTTGATGCCTACTTTGTTGAGGTTTTGTAACATGAGCGTTGTTGAATTTTATTAAAAGCCTTTTCTTTGTTTATTGGGATGATCATGTGTTCTTTGTTTTTAGTCTTGTGTTTGTTTGTTTGTTTTTTCCCTGCTAGATTTTGGTATCAGAATAAATATAGTCTCATAGAATGAGTTAGGAGTCCCTCTGCATCAATTTTCTGGAATAATTTCAGTAGGATTGGTACAAGCTCTTCTTTATATGTCTGGTAGGATTTAGTGGTAAATCCATGTGGCCCAGGGATTTTTCTGGTTGGTTGGCTTTTTATTACTGATTCAGTTTTGAAACTCATTATTGGTTTATACAGGATTTTAATTTCTTTCTGATTCAATCTTGGGTATTTGAATGTTTACAAGAATTTATCTATTTCTTCCAGGTTTTCTAGTTTGTGTGCATAGAGCTGTTTGCAAGAGTATCTGAGTGTTTTTTGTATTTATGTGTCAGTGGTGGTAATGCCGCCTTTATCATTTCTAATTGCATTTATTTGAATCTTCTCTCTTTTCTTCTTTATTCATTTATCTAATAACGTCTATCTATCTAATGTGTCCTTTGAAATTACCAGTCTTTGGTTTTGTTAATATTTTGTGTGTGTTTTTCTTTTTACACCTCAATTTCACTCAGTTCAGCTTTGATTTGGTTACTTCTCTTCTGCTAGCTTTGGGTTTTGTTTGTGCTTGTTTTTCTAGTTCTAATAGGTTTGAGGTTAGATTGTTAATTTGAGCTGTCTTGAACTTTGTGATGTGGGGATTTAGTGCTATAAGTTTTCTTCTTAACGTGTTTAGCTATGTCTCAGAGAGTCTAGTATTTTATATCTTTGTTTTCATTAGCTTGAAAGATTTTCTTGATTTCTGACTTAATTTCTTCACCCAGAAGTCATTCAGGAACAGGTTGTTTAATTTCCATGTAATTTTATGGTTTTGGGAGGTCCTCTTAATGATCTCTCTTTTTATTGTGTTGTGGTCCAAGAGTGTGTTTGATTTAATTTCTTTTTTTTTTAATTTGCTGCGGATTGTTTTATGGCTGATGTGTGGTCGATTTGAGCGTATCTGCCGCGTGCAGATAAGAAGATTATATATTGTTGGGTGGAGTGTTCTGTAGATATCTATTAGGTCTGAGGGAATGTGTTCTCTTTCCGGGTCCATGAGGGGGCATAGTTTTAAGGGCAAGAATTTCCCCCGCACCATGCCCCCCTCCCATCTCTCTCCATCCGGGAGATTCAACGGTTTATATTTGATTTTGAGAGCGCGGAAAGAAACTGAAAGTCCATCACTCCAGCTGAAGTTCTAAGGAACTCTTTTCAGTGGCCCAGGGTCTTGGAGAAGGTGGGGATTTCTCCCAGGATAAATGTCTGTGCCCACACACCTGGCTGGATTTCCCCTCTGGAATCCCCTTCCACACTCTTCGTGGAAGCCTTTCTTCTCTTCTCCTTTCCTTCTCTTTTCTCTACCTAAATGAAATCACCTTTCTGCAACATTTTTGGGGTCCGATATTCACTTTATGAGCATACAATGCAGCTGAAGCGGCCCCACCGCTTATTCTTTCAGAAGTTGAAGGCCAAGAACCCAAAACAACCACCAGCATCCAAGAAAAAAACCCGGTTACAGGTCCATTTGGTCAAGTGTTGAGTTTAGTTCCTGAACATCTATGTTAGTTTTCTGTGTCTGTAATCTATCTAATACAGCCAGTGGGGTGTTGAGTTCTCCCACTATCAATGTGTGATTTATGTAAGTCTCTGTAGATTTCTAAGAACTCATTGTATGAATCTCGGTGTTTCAGTGTTGGGTGCATATCTATTTAAGATAGTTAAATCTTCTTGTTGAACCCTGGACCATGATGTAATTCTCCTTTTGTCTTTTTAAATCACTGTTGATTAAAAGTCTGTTTTATCTGAAATTAGAATAGCAATGCTTCCTCTTTTTTTTGTTTTCCATTTGTTTGTTAGATTATTTTTATCCTTTTTTAAAAATTTATTTTATTGCATTTTAGGTTTTGGGGTACATGTGAAGAAAATGCAAGATTGTTCACTTTGAGCCTATAGGTGTCACTGCCCGTGAGATGAGTCTCTGTAAGTCAGCATACAATTGGGTGTGTGTTTTCTTTTAACCCAACTTGCCACTCTGTGTCTTTTAAGTGTGATGTTTTACATTTAAGGTTAATATTCATATGTGAGGATATTAACAGGTTTGCTCTTAATCCTCTTGTTTTCAATAAAATGAGAGAAGATGTATTTTTATTGTCCCCAGTAGCATTTTTTCCATTCCTGTATCATTTCCAATATTTGGATTTAAATCTGTCCATTAATTTTCTCTGTCATAGCAAAAGCTTCATTCAGGCTGTTACCTTGACTTATTCTGTTATTCATGATCTAGTACCATTTGTGCATACTACATTTTAAAATTAATACTTTATATGTGTGCATAACATGGATAATATTTAACTTAAAGATCCATGGCAATATTTATCTTTAAGATCTGGGTGGATTGAAACGAGGAAGACTTCCACGGGCATTTCTTCTTAGTCATGCTTTAAGAACTTATAGTTAGTAAGTAAGTATAATGAAACTCCAGACAAATAGGGATTTAGATTGATGTGGGCACTGTAATATTTCCAAGGAAGAAAGGAATCTGGCATAGGTAGGCCCTCACTGAATAGAGCATGAATGGAAGAATGTATGATTGGATGAACAAATAAGTGAACCTCTTATGTTCTATTCTGTTTGCTCACAGTCCTTCCTCTGGCTTTACTGCGCTGAAAGAGACCCACAGAATAATAAATGAGAAGGAATAAACTAGTTTTGGTGACTTCCTATTACACAGAATGAATTTAATGCAAAACCTTTTCAATTGTTAATACTTTGTGCCTCTGCCTCTATTGAGTATAATATCTGTGCCCCATCCTTTCAGCAACTTCATATTCTCCTTTAACCCAAACAATACTGAAATCCATTTAAAATGATAGTGAGATGAGACAGCCCATAACCACATCTGTGTTTCCTTTTTTCACCTTATGGACACTGGTAAGTATTGATGACAAGTTATGTCTTCCCTACATCCCATATCTCGCTCCCATCCAGCTCACCTCCAAGGTTAGGATGTCTCTGGCATTCTTCATCCCATTCCTGTGTGCAGCCTTTCTAAGTGCCTTTAAGCTTTCCTCTGGTTTGTTGTTGAGAATGAGCCATCGAGCAGACTCTATCAGCCAACTGAAGAAGGAAGAGAACAGAGGTGTAGTCGACTTTCACTTGGTCAGTTCTTATATTACTTTTTAAAAGATATCTGCTCCCTCCAAGCTAATATCCACCACTTGTTTAGTTTTACTAGAAAATGTAAACTCACATTCTCTTGGACCATAACTAGAAGAATGTGAGATGACTCCTCCATGCAGTACACAGTCACTGTTGGGAATGCAGACTTGGAGTCATATTGGCTCCCTTCCTACTCAGCAAATTTACCATGGAGCTCCTGACTCCGCAGCATGAATGACCACCACTTATACAGATAGATGCCGGCTAAGGTCCTAGTGAGGTCATAACTTATGTCTATTTGTAATGTGTTCTTTTTCCTAAGATAAAGCCCCTCAAATAATTTATGCTTAAGGCCTCATACAACTAGAATCACTGCTGGTCATATCATCCGTGATCAAATCTGGATATATTAACAAATTATATACTTAAATCTTCCTCAGCGTTCTCATCTATGTGATGGGGAGAATATTGCCTTGTAGGGTTGTTATGGAGATAAGATAAATGAATGGATGGGTCTGACAGGGAGTTTGCTTACTTTTGTATCTGAAATCTTCTCTCTGTGTTAAATCTGTAATCATCTCTCAAAGGTAAAGACCAAATAGGTGTCTTTCACTGAACTGGCCTTTTTAAGGGGAGCGGTATAGTTAACCATCTAGAAGTGTTTGCAGAGCTAATAAAGGAAGAAGAAACACTGACAAATAAGGTAAATTATTCATTTTGTCTTAATATTTTAACTGGAGAAATTATGCAGTTCTTTCTTCAGATAGTTATGAAAGTAGATTTGCTGTCCCTTCTTTTCATCCAATATCACCTACAATAATTAAGAAAAAGATCCCAAACTTCTCCAACACATGTTTTTTTTCCAGGGATATGCATACAAACATAGAATACCATGGAAGCCATCTTCTTCTCAAATGTTTTCCTCTCCTGGGGAAAGCATGTTTGTAATAATTCTGTTTCGATAATACTTGTTAAGGTGAGGATAACCAGGGACACTAAGAACTCCCAGGCAATGATTCATTGTTATTCCTCATCTCATGGGTTGCTGGTTTTAGCAAACAAAAACACAGTGGCATGGATACATTTGAATTTCTATTAAGTAGTAAAATTTTTTAGTATAAATATGTCTCATGCAATATTTTGGACATAATTATATTAAAAATTATTCATCCCTTACCTAAAATTTGAATTTAATGGAATTTCCTATGTTTTATTCATTTAAATAAGATACAGAACCCTCAGGTGAATGAAATTTCATATAAACAATAAATAATTTTGAGTAAATTATGTCTCTTACAATATTTGAGATACAATGTTAGAGAAATATTTGTCGGTTACGTTATGAAATTTCATTCATTGCCCTCAGTTTTATCAGGGAACTCTGTGTGTTCTGCTTCTTGAATTGCCCATCAAGCACAGATTATGAGAGGATGTGCTCTCAGGCCTACACAAAAAACAAAAAAAATCCAGTGTCCTACTTCCACGTACATTCTCATTCCAGGATCTCATTAAGACAAAAGAAGAAACCAACTCATACCTTGAGGTCAGAAAGATCACAAAGTGTGGTACAGACACCACCAGCTGGAGGATGTGCCAGTCTCGAATGGCAAAAGCCAGGCCTGCCAGGGTCATAAATGCAATACTAGAAGCACACATTGCCAATGGAATTCCCATGGTCTGGAATCTGTATGTTGCCCACTCGACTACTGAAAGAAAAAACAAATAAGGCTTTGGCTTCAAAGGTGAGATTTCAGTTTCAAAGTCACAGTTTGGGAAATGTGGATCCCAATTGTTGACTTACTTAACATAATAGTGTTTGTAAGGAGATTCGTTGTAGCAGTCCCAGACAAGAAGCGTAGTGAGCAATAAATGAGGAAGGTGGGAGCCAAGGCTGAACAAGTGCCAACAATGGCGAGCTGGAGGTAACACCATCTGAGAACTGACTTTCTCCCAAACCTGAGAAACAGAGACAGGCCAGATAATGGGAACAACAGCAACAAGTGGGAAAACTTAGCAAAGAGAAGGCACACTTTGAAACATAAAAGATATTTAACAAGTGAAACTTTGCATTTGAAACCTTAAAAACTCAATAGCCAATCAATGGTAGATCTCAGACACAAGGTTGCCTGTTTCTAAACTGATACCCAGCAGATCAAAACTTATTTTCCAATCTTTTAGCTGTATATTTTTGACATCAATTGAAACCACATAAGACAGGGTGGAATACTGGACATTTTAACACATCAGAAGTCTCTTATACTAACACGCAGTGTACTAATAACACAATGTGTGTTTTATATACTTTAGCACAGCAGAGAGTCTGAGCAGTGCATAGCCTATAAATCATCTAAATCAAATGTAGACGTCTAGGACAGTGCAGGCTATGACTAAACTGATGTGAAAGGAACATCCATAGCAGTACATCAAAGTTGCTGAAGTGTTGCAGGGAAGGGCTAAAAAAAAAAAAATTGGAATTCAGTGTTTTACTCTTTTCTGGGAAAGGAATCCACTCTGTAGCCAACTTGAACATTTTAGCCTGTGGTGAGGCAAGATTTTAGCTCTCACCAATGTCATTGGCATTGTATCAGTATCAAAGGTTTTAGCCACTGCTGGAAAGAGATTAAAAGGAGAAAACCAGAAAATTAATGATCTAAACTATCCCACCTTGCAGATGATATGATCAAGTTGGGAAATTTTAAGGACTCTACAAATTGCCACTAGAACTAACAAATTTATCAAGTTGTCAGGATGCAAATTTACTATGGAAAATGTAATTGTCTTTACATATATGTATATAATTTACATGTAAATTATCTTTATATATAAATTAGAAATACATTTAATAAAAACTTCATGACTTTTTTCATAAACTACAAAACATTACAAAGGGAAATTAAATGAAAATCTACCTTAATGAAGAGCAATGCTATATTTATAGATCAGAAAATTCAATATTTAAAAAATGTCAACCTTACCCAAACTGTTGTTCAGATTTAATGGAATCCCAATAGAAATCTAAAGAAAATTAGATTTCTCTCTTAGTTCTGACTCCAAACATCATAACGTAGTTCCTTGTTTTTGACTTTTACATTGGGGGAATACTATAGTGTGTAATCTTTTTGTTGTTCTTGTGGTACCTAATCAAATGGTTTTGATATTAAATTATCTGATTGCAGACAGTGGTTTATTCATTCCCTTTGCTGTAAAAATACATTATGTAAATATCTGCTTATTTATTAACCTATTTTTAATGGGATTATAGATTATTTCTGATTTTTTGATATAAAGAGTTGAGCGAGTTATTTTAAAACAGTCAGTTTGATCATAGCCTACTCTGCATATAATCATGTACTATTTTCTCTTAGGTTTGTGAGAAATCTCAAAATCCTTAGATTATCTTGCCCTTTCATTTTCAGCTGATTCTCCACTGTCATCTCCTGCCTGGCATTCCCTATCCTTTCTTGTACCACCCTGTGATCCACTAAAATTGGTCTATCTGCATTTTCCCAGGACAGTGTCACAAAGGATTGGGTTACTAACTGTTAGAAATTAACCCTCTGACTCTCAGCTCATTCTATGTTACATTTCCTGTCATACATTCAGTGTTCACATTTTCAGGTGAGATACGAGAAGACATGGTGCTGGTGAAGGGCAAGGGGCACTTCAAGTCCCTCATCACCATCAGGGGAGACATGGTTGGGTGATGGTAATTGTTCTCTGCCATGTCAGAAGACATACAGCAAGGTGAATACCCCAAACTGCTCACACCACAGACTGTGAGAGTATTATCCTTGGATTACTTACCTTATCTGGTTCTAAAAAGCTGTTTTTGCAAAGGCAATAATCAAGTTTCCACACATGATTTTTCAACACACCACCAATGACACCTTCAGATATACCCCACGGGTTTTAGAGGAATGCGTGCTCATCACACTTGGAACTATGATGTGACGACCATGCTCTGGGCACAAGCCATCAGCTTGCAGTGTCCAGGTGGGACTGGACCTGGTACTCTTGGCCAAGGCTGATTCCCATGTGATGAAACATGTTCCTTAGTTAACTCGCTCATATTTCTAAACCACATGTTGTGGTGCCTTCTCTCTAAATCCTGTCTTGAAACACCCCCAGTTCACATGGAGATATCATTTCTGTGTCCTGCACACGGAAAATTTAAAAAATAGCACTCACAACACTGATTAAAACTTTACTTTTCTGTGTGGGGATCAAGGCAGCCTCAGGACAGTGTAATTTGCAGTAAGTAATTCCAGATGAAACAATGTTTCATAAGTTGATAAAAATGCCCTTAAAGAGGGCTGTAATCCATTTGTACTCACCTGTCTGATAAATGACCACCTAGGCTGGCTCCCACCAGCATTCCAGCCATGAATACAAATTTAGCTACTGAAGTCAGTGATTGAGAGTCACATACCAGATCCCACTGGAAGAGAAGGAAGCCAGCACATCAATGCTTATTACCCCTCAGTGTAACCTGATCAAAACTTGTTAGCATGATCTGCAAGTTTCCTTATGTTAAGTCTCCAACTTCCTCTCCAGATTCCTTTTTCAACATTACCTGACCTTTATTATTCAGGTCTCAACTTAAACTTAACTTTCTCTTGGAAGACTTTCCTAAACCTTTAGGTTTTTATTTTACACTAACTGGTTCTTAAACTTGACCACACAGTGCAATCACTTGAGGACCTTTAAAAACTTTTGGATAGCTAGATTTTCCCCTTAGACTTTCTCATATGATTGTTTTAGGGTATACTCTGGGCATGGGGGTTTTCCTCAATTTTCCAGATATTTCTAATTTGCAATGACAGGCTGAGCATTACTGACCTAGCAGAACATTTTAACTTATTATATATAAGTGCTTGTTTAAACTTTGGTCTTCCCATGACTTAAAGCATTATAATAGCAGGATGCATTCTACTCTTGAATTCATTACTCAAAATGTGTAGGTGTCAGACATTTAATAAAGAAGCAAATAATATTTGCTGAAAGAATAAAGACTAAGCACCTACATGTGACTAAAGGCTGGAAGCATGATTATTACTTGTGTTTTTCTAAACACCCAGGTCATGTTCTCATGAGAGGAAAACAGAGCCTCTTACCTCAGTCACGATGGTGGAAGAAAAGGTGCTTCTGTCGTACACCCAGCCATCCACACAGGGCTCCGTGTCTGGGTCACTTGCATTGGGGAAGGTCCCATTCAGGTGAAGGAGCTGCCACTGGGTATGAACAAAGCGATGACACTTCTCTGGCCTCCTGTTTGAGTCCAGTGGGATGGAGATTCTCAAGAGGGCATCCTGACTGAGGGTCCTGGTGTCATTGTCAGAGACAGTATCATTGTCCAGGATGTGGACCCAGCAGCGATGACCAGGTGTGAATGCAGTGAAGTTATCCAGCATAATATGAGGATATGTAACAATAGTGAAGATTGAGAGAAAAACAGCCTGAATGATCTGGAATCTCCACAGGTCACCGGCTTGACTCAGGAGGTCCTGAAAGGCCATTGAGGCTGAACAGGTGATCCCGAAGTAGAGGCAAAATGACTATATCCAGAGAGGTTCAAAGGGGGAAAATGTTTTCTTTCCCTAAGTCATGCTAAGTGTGTGTTGATCCTGACTCCACTCTCTTCTTAATGGACCATACCTCCCGTCTGCAGCAGGACCACGGAAACAGTTTCTTCAAGTCGTTTTGGGGTCAGATAGGTAGCCATTTTCTTTAAAGTCATGTAAGAAATAGTATGCTCAGATACTCCCAATCATTTGCAGTGCAATGTGTTTAAAGTTCTACTTTTTCATGTCTTTAGTAGCTCCCAAAGTCAGCATCGGACTTTGGTCTACACATTTTCTGTAAACAAACTAAAATAAACCTGCTACATGGTATGCAGTCATTCCAGGAAGCATGCTTTTGGAGACTCAAAACTGAAGTGCTTTCTTACTTCTCTGAAAACAATAGAAAGGAAGTGTTTCCTTGTTAAGTACCAATTTTTGATTAAGAGTTAATCCAGAAAATCCAAGTAAAAATAAAGTAGGGGTACTATGGTGCAATCCTTTCATTTTGGTGACCGATGTTCTGCTTCGTGTCAAATCAGACCACAGACTCACCCTGGAAATAAGTTGCTTGAAATGTGGACAGAATAGATGGTGTTGAAAAGTAGAGAAGTAAGCTAGTGGTAAGTTCATATGGAGGTTTACTTTTACTGGCTTACTGATTTTTTTCAGATAGGATTTGTGAAGACCTTTTCTGCGTTAGTTCCTGAAATAATGTGTGTGACAAGTTCAAGGATCTTATAGTTGAGTAAGAGAGAGTACATGAACAATTGCACTCCGATATTAGAAATATTATGTGAGATGCACTATGTGCTATGCAAGAATTGGAGACAAAACATGGGAGAAAATGTCACCTTGATTCGGACTAAAAGTTCTATTAAATTTAAACCTCCTTGAAGTATAATTCATTTATCATACAATTTATTCTTTTAAAGTATACAATTGAATATGTTTTAATCATTCAAAGGGCTGTGCAATCATCACCACTATATCATTACAGAACATTTTAATCACCACATGGGAAACCATACTCATTAGCAGTAACTCTCCGCTTTTAATCACACATTGCACTTAGCAACCACTAACTCACTTTCCGTTTCTATAGATTTGCCTATCGTGGACATTTGATTTACAAATTGAATAATAAAATACTTGACTCTTTGTATCTGGCTTCACTCATTTAACATAATGTTTCCAACTTTCATCTATATTGTAGCATATATCAGTCCTTCTATCCTTTTCATGGCTAGATTATTTTTCCATTGTATGGATATAATATGTACATTTTTGCTTGTCCTTTCATGGTTGATGGACATTTGGGCTATTTCCACTTTTTGGTTGTTATGTAAGTGCCACTATGAACACTTAAGAATTATTGCATAAGCCAGAATCACAAAGACTACTCCTATGTTTTATTCTAAATGTTTTATGTTTAGGTCTATAAATCACTTTTAGTTTATTTATTTTTATGGTGTGATGTAATGTCTGATTTATTTTTATGTGATATATGGTTGTGTCAGCACCATTTGAAAATAAATACTTTTCTTTCCATCATTATTATTCTTGGCCCCTTGTTGAAAAATCAACAAAAAAGTTATGTTTTAATTTTTTTTTTACATTGACACATCAGTTTATTTTTTTCCCATTTATTTATTTTATTGCATCTTGAACCACAGTTCTCTTCTCTCTGTGTATCTATCCTTATGTCAGAATTGTTACTGTCTTGATTGCTAGAGGTTTGTAAGAAATTTTAAAATTGAAAAGTTTTTGTATGCTTAGTTTGCTATTTGTTTTCAGTTTTTTTTTTATATCACATTCTTCAAATTTTTATATCAATACAAGCTTATCAATTTTTGTGGAAATGTCTGCTGGAATTTTGAGAGTTTTTGAATCTGTAGGTCAGCTGATGAGTGTTGCCATGTCAACAATATTAAGCCTTTTCAACAAGAACATTTATTCAATGATTTAGACCTTTGATTTCTTGCAACAATATTTTATAGCTTTCAGTGTCCAGCTCTTGCATTCCTTTTATGAAATACCTTATTAGTTTTTTTTTTTAAATTATTGTACTTTAAGTTCTGGGGAACATGTGCAGCTCTTGCAGGATTGTTGCATAGGTACACACATGCCATGGTGCTTTGCTGTCTCCATCCCCTGTCATCTACATCAGGCATTTCTCCCAGTGTTATCCCTCCCTAGTTTCCCCTCCCCACCCCCCACCGTCCCTCCCCTAGCCGCCCACCCCACAATAGACCCCAGCGTGTGATGTTCCCCTCCCTGTGCCCATGTGTTCTCATTGTTCAACACCTGCCTGTATGAGTGAGAACATGCAGTGTTTGGTTTTCTGTTCTTGAGTCACTTTGCTGAGAATGATGGTTTCCAGATTCATCCATGTCCCTCCAAAGGACATGAGCTCATCCTTTTTTATGGTTGCATAGTATTCCCTGGTGTATACGTGCCACATTTTCTTTGTCTAGTCTATCATTGATGGGCATTTGGGTTGGTTCCAGGTCTTTGCTGGACACAATTACATATAATGGACAAATTTGATTGGCCAAGGACAAGTAATCAATTGCTGTCTGAAAGAAACTGTCAGGAATAAATGGCACTACTTTCTAGATACTTCTTGAGTGTGATGAAGAAGGCCATATGTTTGTACCAACCTTTACTGACTTTTGACTCTTTCGCCAGCAACTTAATGGCAGAATCTGCCCTAAATCCTCAATTTGCTTTGCAGGGAATCATTAGAACCCAATTCTCCCTTTCCTTTTGGCTTCAAAGTTGTGTGACCAGTACAATGACTGAGGAAAGGTGGGAACACTTCTTTTCTCCACTTATTTTCTTCAATCTGTGCTCTTTTCTCACCTTAAGTTACAAATGTGTTGTTCAGAATGCAGACTCCCAGTAGGAACATGAAACACATCTGGCTTACTCCATGTTCCATGGGGTTCTGCGCCCGAAGTGCGACATAGTTGACTGGGAAGGTGACTGCACCAAAGAGACTGCAACAGGAAAACGTTGTTCCCCAGATGCTGGAGGTAGAGATCAAGGCCATAAAAGGGCACAATGGTTGCAAATTTGTGGTAAACAAAGGAAGAAAAACATATGTCATAAGGTTTGAGTTTATGTCCTACAAATGAGGATAACATTGGTTCAGGAGCACAGTGGTTGTTGAAGTATAAAAGCATGGTTTGTTGTAGAATATTTTCCTGCATGGTAGTGATTTTAAAGTTATAAAATACTGTATGTATGGGATGATGAAGATCATAATTGTTGTTAACATTTTTTTTTTTTGGTGAGCATGAAGTATTCTTATGGAGGATGCATAGTGGGACATGCTAGAGATTTAGAACTTTTTCTATATTTTGATCTGGGTGTTGGCTACATATTTACATGTTTAAAAATCTTAATTGAGGCTGGGCGCAGTGGCTTGTGCCTGTAATCCCAGCACTTTAGGAGGCCAAAATCACCTGAGGTCAGGAGTTTGAGACCAGCTTGGCCAACATAGTAAAACCCTGTCTCTACTAAAAATATAAAAATTAGCCAGGTGTGGTGGTGCATGCCTATAGTCCTAGCTACTCAGGAAGCTGAGGCAGGAGAATCAATGAATCCAGGAGGCAGAGGTTGCAGTGAGCCGAGATCGTGCCGCTGCACTCCAACCTAGGCGACAGAGTAAGACTCTGTGTCAAGAAAAAACAAAAAAGAAAGAAAAAAGAAATCTTTACTGAGCAGCAAGCCTTTTTATTTGATTCTGTATATTTAAAGTGTACAACATAATGTTTTGATGTACTTACACTATAGTCAATAATTATATTGACCACTGCATTGTATTCAAGATTTTTGTTAAGAGAATAGATTTTAAGTGCTCTTGCCACAAAAAGTGGTAGCTGATGTGAGATAATGGATATGCTAATTTGAACAGTAGACTCTGTGTACTTTATGCTATAATTTTATCCTAACTAAAACACAAACAAACGAAGAAACATAAGCTCAAATTTGTATCATGGTTAAAATTCTCATGATCAGTCTCCAGTGATGACCCGGGCGGGATGACTTGGAGAAAACATAACTCCTCATCGCACAATTAGTTTCATGTCAGCCTTTTCATAACCCTTTGACTACCACCAAACGTACCAACTATCTTTATGGTTTTCTCAGCTAATTATCCCCAAATCTGCCCCCACACCATGTTCTACCCATTGAAGTGACCCACTGATACATGTCTCTACCATTTTTGTGTTCTTCCTGCACTGTGTGGCACCTGTCTCACAAAGGACAGGAGACAGATCGTCTTACACAGGTCGGGTGTCTGGAACGAGTCACACAGAGGAGGTTCTCTTTGTGTTGTCTCCAGCTTCTCCTTCGTTGTGAATCTCAAAACCTTTAACAACAGCGACAACAAACTCTTTGAGTTCTCACAAAATGGTAGGCATGGTGGGGAGCACTGGGAACCCATGCAGGACAAGACTGGCGAATTCCCTTTCTGGCTAGTGAAAAATATAGACATTAGAGATGCATTGACAGATGTCAAAGTGGTATGAAAGACAAATTAGGGAGTTGAAGGAATCTGGATAATTATGCCATGACAAGGACATTTTATACATGAGACTCAAGAGGGCTGTGGGCACTGTAAAGTGTATGTACGTTAAAAAGATTCAGATTGACATGAGGAGTACCTGTAAAGTTATGGTCCAAAGCTTTGTTTACAACAGATGGGCACAAAAGGCCTGGCCACTGAGCTTAGTTAATAGCTGGTATTGCTCTCTCTCTCTTTTTTTGGCACGGAGTCTTGCTCAGTCACCCAGGCTGGAATGCAATGGTGCCTTCTCAGCTCACTGCGACCTCCGCCTCTCAGGTTCAAGAAATTCTCCAGCCTCAGCCTCCCAAGTAGCTGGGATTACAGGCATGTGCCACTACGTCTGGCTAATTATTTTTGCATTTTTAGTAGAGACGGGGTTTCACCATGTTGGCCAGGCTGGTCTCAAACTCCTGACCTCAGGTGATCCACCCATCTCGGCCTTTCAAATTTCTGGGATTACAGGTGTGAGCCACTGCACCTGGCTGCTGATTGCTCTTTATAGGAAACTTATTTCTGGAAAAGAAGAAGCCAGAAGACAGTAGCATGGTTTCAAATGGCAGTGCTACCAAGTCCTTGACAGCCTTGTTCTTGTCCGCCTCAGGTTTTTGCTGCAGAGTCTTCACACTGCGGTGATCAGGATTGATCTCC